GCGTATGTACGTCCGTCCGTACGGCCCATACGGGGATCCCCCGTACGACGTACTGGCGACGACACAGAGTCACGTGGATCACCGAATTCCATCAACGGAGAGGTCTGGTAGGGGTAAGGGTCAGTCAGAGGGGAAAGAGTTGTATGATGGGACGGAACCATCGGAAGAGTGAAGGTTTTGTCTTGCTAACTTTTCAATTGATAAAGAGAGCGGTGCGGTTTGAACTCGAGCACACTTATATCCAGAGCGCGGGGGAGATTTTGAAACAAGTCTTTGGGATTCCTATGGGGAGGAACTCCAGCCCAGCGCTGGCATGCTTAGTCTGTGCGCGAGCCGAGGCACAGTTTTTGAGTACATTAGGGAGAGATGTGCGTCTAGTAAGAGGGATGAGGATGATTGATGACGCTGCAGTGATCATTGGGCTCAGGAGGGGGGACGAAGAAGCCGAGCATCGATCATCACATATATTCGAAGCCTTTGAAGGGTGCTATGATTGAAGCCTGACTTTGGTAAGAAAAGATTCTGGGACAAATTCGATTGAGTTTTTAGGGACTCAGATGATGATTGAAAGCGGCCCAGGAATCAGGATTCACATCTTCCCGAGAACAAGGAATCAGAAGTTCTTAAGGGAGAATGGGGCAATGAAGATCCACTCGATGCAGGATTTTGAGTCATTTTCCAAGAAATCAGCAAATAAAGCATCATTGTTCTCCAGTATGATGAGAGCGCAGCGATCATCCACCTCTTGTGAATCCACGCTGGCCACGATTTCGGCGATCATGATGGAGGCACGCCTCCGGCGCTACCCGTCGGAGGTCTCTCTCGCATCCTTGGCAAGGTTTGCCAAGATCTCCGGCGGTCCCTGGGGAGGTCTCCTCTCCAGGATGTACCCCGGAGTTGTAAAGTATATGCAGAATTGACCACGGGGCTTTTGTCGCAGTATAGGCTCAGCGTGTGTGGGCCCTACGTACCCCGCGGTAATGTAACATAGGACTAACGAGCTATAATCGAAAGTTTCTATTTTTCGGCATTTTCCTCCCTTTTTCCCTTTTCCTTTTCCTTTTTTCTTTTTCCTTTTTTGACTTTCCCTTTCTCTGACCCTCCGATTCGAAGAACTGTAGGAATGACAAGTGAAGCAATCGACCGTGTTTCTGTAATCGCCTGTTTTCGTCCTGTTTTTTATTTAGATGTAGGACTGACAAGCAATTCAAACGATTTTGCCGGGTTTTCTCATCGATCCTGTTTTTTTCTCCTTTTTTTTTTTTCTCTCTCTTTTGTTTTTTGTTTTTTGTTTATTTATGAGGAAGCCGTAGGACCAAAGAGCTAAAGACGTCACTTTTTGGAGTAAGAGTAGGGAAGTAAGAAAAAAATCTGTTGAAATCCGCTTTTGTTCCGATTAAAGAAGGAGGGATTAAAAAAGACGGAAGAGTAAGTGGTAATCCGACATCCGTGCCGGATCTGAGTGATTGTTTAAAGCAAAGTCGGAACATCACCTCGAACCGGCCAGTCGCTGCGAGAGAGGGAAGCATCGTCGCTCCCGTCTTAACAAGCGGTATCAAAGGGACCGGTGGAAACCGTGAAATCGAAGATGGGGAAGGATACGAYGAAGGTGAGGAGGAAGGTGGAAGGGATATGGGAAGGAGAGGGAACRCAGAGAACCACCAATAGGGAGAGAGTGCATGGATCCACGAGCTTTCCAAGAGAAGAAGGTAGTGACGAGAAGGAAGGGAGGATAGTAGCGGGAAACCAGATTGAAGAAGGGAGAAAGGGAGTCGGGTAGATAGGCCGATTGTCTTCAGGAAGAATGTGTGCAGAGATCGAGTATTTAAGAGAAGAAGGTTGCACTTTGCCATATGGTCGTGGGCTTTTGGTTAGAGCCTCCTGATGAGCTTGCCGTCGAACGTCGGCAACGAAATGCGTCGAGGCATCGCGTTCTGGTTTTAATGAGTTATTCTTTCGCGAAGAAACCGAGTTTTTTCTTGAGTGACGGGTGCAACCTCTTACTTCTCCTCTTATCTTCTTCTTCTCTTTCTATCTTAAATCTTAAAATGAAAAGAACTATGCGAAAGCCAAGGAGTAAACTCCAGGCTAACCAAGATAGATCAAATTCGGAGAAACATGCAACCCCTGAAAAAGACAACCAGAACAGTCCCGCCTCCGTCATCGAAAGGAAGAACCTCAAGCTGATCCAGGTGGAGTTAGTGACCAGTGGCCGGTACTCGCCGTGATACTCAGCACCAATCGCATCCACCCCTGCTTCCTGCATGCAAATCCCATCCACCCTCCCAAACTCCGTTGTCATGAAGAAATCCGGAGGACCTCATCTCAGCAGGGGGTGAGCACCATCATCACCCTGAAATTCCTTGCCCCCACAAGAATTCCAGTCTCTGTCCTCAAGGAGGTGGAACAACACCACCCAACGCCAATCGCGTCAAAGTTCACCCTCATCAGGCGGTACCCATCAGACAACCTAAACTACCCAACGCCAATCGCATCTGATAAGAGCTCCCCCTAGCCGGTACCCGTCAAGCAGTCCTATTCCATCCCCCTCTCCGTCCTTGCGAAGAATCATTTCATGCCCCTTGCCCCCTCCTTCAAAACAAATCCCCCCAAAACTACAGGATGCTCCACTTGGCCATCCCATGGGGCCGCTGTTGAAAACTCTGACTAACCTCTTGGAGAAAAAAGGAAATTCTAAAGGAGTAGAGGAGAAAATCTGTGAAACTACCCTCCCGCTCTCTCCACAACACAGAGGGGAAAGGAGAAGACAACACCTCTCCGCTGTGAAGAGAATTAGCATTGCCCTCATTCTTACCAAAATCCCTCTGTCCTGTCCTTGAGCTGCCCCCGTCGAGAGGAGTCCTCTTCTCCTCAATGACCCCAACTCAGTGCAAGCCCCCTAACAGACTACCGCTCCCTAAAAAACAAGCAGTTCCCACCAAAAGCCTGTCCAGGCTGTCCCCGAAGAACGACATGACTCTTTGTTGGTAAGAACAGTGTGAACACCATGAAGAATGAAGGTCATGCGGTTGGTTGCAAGCATTGACTGCATTATGGAGGCTGTTTGGTCATCCCGAAATGCAAGCTTAGGGATTTCAGAGGAGAAATATGCTTTTTCCAACAGCAAAGAGGTTAACTTCGCCAGTCTGAGAATCTGATCCAGATGTTTGTAAAAGCGAACTGGCTGCAGACTAAGGCTTGATTGAAAGCGGGTCATGGTGTCGAAGAACTTGGATGAAAACAACAGGCTTCGTTCAGTAAAGGCAACTAGACTGCTAGTGGCTCATTTTGGCATGTACACATAGCTAGTAGGTCAAGATGACCAAATTCCTTGACGCTTGCTCGCAGAATCGTTGTCAAATTTGGAATAGCGAACTTAGTGCTCCCTCGGCATAGATTGTGGGAATGCCTTGAGGACTTAGTTCAGAGTACGTGAGCGTCGTCATATTGCCGTCATGTGGATTTTGGAAAGTTTTGGACTTGCTATTAAGAAGTGGATGGGACGCTGGACCCGGTTTCCAGCCTTAACCGAAACTAGGTAATGGTCCTAGCTGTACGGGGTGGAAGTGTGAGGACCCCGACCTCGGTCGATTTCTCTGGAACACAAGTTACCGACTTTCCAGAAAAAGAAGAGAAGGAAAAGAAAAGAAAAAAACATCCAGCAAACATGTGGCCGCCTGTGTTGTTTTCAATTTGCACCACCACAACACAGAAAGAAAGAAAATGCTGGAAAAAATGAAGAATACTGCCCATGGCCCCATGTGCTTAGCAGCCCCGGGTGAGGTCCCACCGGCCACGTTGAGTTTTCTCAACGCTGAGCTTTCTTTCTATCATGTGTGGCTTCTTTCTATCATGTGTGGCATCGTGGGATGGAGCTCTCCCTTTGATGTTGATGTATTGCGAATCTAATGGTGCGGAAATACAGGAGAATAACCTAAGAGGAAACTACGGCGCAGTCAGGGTTACAGTTTGTAATTGCATTTGGAACTGCGTTTTAGCACTTTGCAACTCGGGCTGGCTTTTTCTAGCAGTTGAGTCAGGCACATGGCCGTTTCTTT